GCACCTCCGAAGCGCCCGTTTACCCCCACCCCCACCCCGCCCGCGCGCGGTTCAATCCACAGTGCTCCGTTCTGCCTGCCTTCTTCGTTTCGGAGCAGCTTCGGCTGATAAAAAGAGGCGAATAGTTATTATTCTCACCAGAAACGAAGAAGGCAGGCAGGCAGGCAGAACGGAGCACTGTGGATTGAACCGTGCGCGGGCGGGCGGGGTGGGGATGAACGGGCGCTTCGGAGGTGCTGTGGCGACAGGAAAAGTCACCCCCCCTCCCCGGCTTCTTTGAAGCAGTTTCTTCCTGGGCTGGTGGAGCAGCGAGAGAGCGACTGAGAGAGGAACGAGGCGGGAGGAAACCGAAGCCGCTGAGCCAGAGAGCAGGACAGGCTTTGGTTGCTTCCTCCCTCCCCTTCTCTCATTTGTGTCCTTGATCCCCGATCCCAGCAGCATTCACCGAAGGCGAAGAAAGCTGCCATTTTTTAAATTTTTTTTTATTTGCGGCCCGGTACAGAGTGCTCCACGGACCGGGACTGGTCCACGCCCCGGTGGTTGAGGACCCCTGCTTTAGAATATTGTAAAGTTGTACATATTCTTTCTCTATGGAAAGTTGGCTAAAACAAATCTAGGTTTTCCAGTCCTTGTGAATGTACAAAGTACATTTAGATTCAGTTTGAAAATTGTACTTTGAAACACAAACATTTACACCTGTCTACAAAGCAACTGGGTCTTCCTCCAGAATCAATTAAAAAGTGCAGAGAAGCCCAATATTTGTAATATTTGTAACACTGAAGTATCTTTTTTGAATCAGATTAAAAATAATCTGGCACAAAGTTTATTTTTGTTTCTAGAAAAATATTTTTCTGTTAAAACACTATCTAGACCTTCCTATATTTTTTTACCATCAGAAACAGCCTGAGGAATATGGTAGATGCAACAGAGGAAATCAGGAAAATTCACTGCAGAAGTTACTAATCCAGTACTTTTAAATACAAAAAAACTTAATAATTAAGTTATGAAGGAACTGCCAAAGCTGACTGCAAAAAATAGTTGTTTATCACATAGGGAGAAATACTGTACAATCCTATTACAACTCTTCAGCATTACAGATTCAATCTAGGGAAGATGCTTCAGTATGTCTGCATCACCTTACTTTCCTAGGTTCAGGTGGCTACCTTTCTTTTCATCCTGGGAAAAGGTATGGCTGCTTAAAATAGGTGCTGCACTGGTAATGCATGCTCCAAAGCACTTTTTGGAAACTGAATCCAAAGTTCTGACAATCCTAGATCCTATCAATGTGATATATGTTTGATAACATACCTGTTCACTTATTCCTGTGCCTCCATATACACACACGACTCTAACCCCAAGAGTCTTTGAGAATTTCTTACATTCCTTTGTAATCTGTAGAGCTAGTTCTCGAGTAGGTGTCATAATGACAGCTGGAAAAAAAACCAGAAATTTTAATCCAAATGTTCTCATCATGTGCACACCAGAAGTTTCAATAAAACTGAGACTCCCCTCAAAGATTTTCATATATTATGTAGTGACAAGAAAAAAATATCTTGTTTTGTTATATTTTACAGAACTTTCTACTAAAGCAAGACCATCACCAATATCTTTCAGCATGAAGCTTTTTCCAGCATGAAATTAAAAATATGGTTATTTTCAACTGATTAGTTTATGCTCTGCATTGTTTCAAAAGCTGTTTTATTACTGTATTTTATTTCCTTTTAGGAACATTTTAGGAACCTGTGCATAATAATTCTGTTTCTCTACATGAGTGATTGGATTAACAACATCATCCATACCTATTGGACCTTCGCCTTCTTCTAATGATCTCTGATCCATGATGTGTCTGAACATGGGCAGCAGAAATGCAATAGTCTTTCCACTTCCTGTTTTAGCAATGCCGATTAAATCACGTCCACTCATAACTGCAGGTATAGCTTGGGCCTGGATAGGGGTGGGCTTTTCATAGCCATGTCTTAAAAAGGAAATAAAAAGATACTTTATGGACATGAACATTATCATATATAGTTCTACAAAAGTACTGATTTTCAGTTTTAATTTCACATAATGTATTTTAGAAAATATAGCTATAGTGAAGAAATTATAAATACGGGAACTATTACATATTCTGATACTTTTAGATGATGTTAAACTGTAATTCACAGTAACTGCACCCAAGTCTAGGAGATCCCGATGAGTATACTTCAGCAACACCTGAAGGATTTCTGATTTCTGGCATGTGGGTTTGTACAACAGAAACTGCCTTATATTTGACTGGAGCTAATTGCTGTTTACATTTTGGCAATATATAAAGCACTACATCTCCCATTTTTGCTGTACGCTGCAAATCTCTTCACAATTTTTCCTAATGCTAAAATATATAAACTATCTATTTCCTTATTGCCTACTTACTTTTTCAGGGAATTCAGGATTTTCATAGAAATACCACACTGTACCCAGGTTTTGATTGGCTTGGGACATCCTTTACCCTTGACTGTAATTCCTTCCATTTCCAATCTGTATGCATTTACCTCTGCAACATACAACCTGAATTAATATATGAATCACTCATTTGTTGACATTTATTAATATGTCTTCCATATGAAGAATGATATTAATGTTTGATCACTTTTTTACAAGATGGCATATTCAGGTATCTTTATAAGCAATATAAAACAAAGTTTTAAGTATAACTGGTGAAAATCATGAAATCAGCATCGTTATCTACAACTACTATGTATCTTCTTTTGTAATACAAAATAATTATCAGCTTTTTAGCTAGAAAGCCTATTAGCCTGGTTAAGACCACAGTAAACCATATCTGATTAGATTGATTCTGGATAAGTAGATACACTCTTATTATGGCTTGCACAAGCAATGCCTAAAAAAGTCCTGGCTTTGCATTTCACATGACTGCAATTACCCCTGGAACCTTTCAAACTCTGAGACTAGGCAAATCCATAGAATAATAATTCTCTCTCCATACTGTATTTTTTAACATGAAAGAAAACTGAAGATTTTTATTAGGGCAGCATGCACTTAGGCAGGACAGAAAGCACCTACTTTGGGCTCTTCAATAAGGAAGTTGTGGGCAAGGATCTCAAGCTGATTCTTATGGGAAAAGGAGCTAAAGGCTACAAATCATATGAACAGATGGCTCATGGTACACAAGAAAGAAGCCTGTTGGTGGAATGGCTATTCTGAATCCAAACTAATGACTTCATAAAACAGTCTGGCTGTTTTTCAATAGAAGTGATTTGTTTTCCTGTTAGCTTTGAAAAAGAATCAAATACTATGCAGATCCATGAATCTCTGCTTCCTGGGTAGGAGAAAATTTATTTTTCTCATTTTTTTTAACCCTGTTGGAATTTCATCAGGTGCTTCTTATTCTCCCAATAATCTTTCCAGATATAAAAGCAGGAATTTGTAGTTGTGGTGTAGAAAGTAAAATGCATTTATTATTAGACCAATGTTTCTCAACCTTAGCAACTCTAAGATATGTAAATTTCAACTCCCAGAATTCCCAGCCGGCATGCTATCTGATTGAGGAACTTTGGGATTTAAACACCACGTACTTCAGAGTTGCCACAGAAAAACTGTATTACAACATAAGAAAAAGACAAGATAATCCAGAAAAGACAGCAGCTGATAGGAGCTTTGAGGATTCTCTGCAGCCTCCTATACTATTGAAGGAGCTTTCAGCCTCAAAAATTAAAGAGGTACCAGAGTAGTGGAATAAAGAAACTGCCACTTCATTTAATTTAAAACCATTAAATCAACAATTAAATCAGTGAAAACTTGGTTGGATGAGGCAAAGCTGAAACTCCAGGCCTGCCTTGATTGCACTGATTGGAATGTTTTTGAAGATGCCTCTGCAGACCTAGATGAGCTCACAGATACTGTAACATCATATGTTAGCTTCTGCGAAGACTTATGTGTACCAACAAGGAACCTGCAAATATATAGTAACAATAAACCTTGGTTCACAGTTAAACTTCAGCAGCTACGTCGTTCCAAAGAGGAAGCCTACAGAAAAGGTGACAGAATGCTATACAACCAGGCCAGAAACATATTAACAAGAGAGATCAGAGCAGCAAAAAGAAGCTACTCTGAAAAGTTAAAGAATCAATTCTCAACAAATGAACCAGCAAACATGTGGAAAACTCTTAAAAACATCACTGGCTTCAGCAAACCTCCTTCCCAGGCAGAAGGAAATCAACAACTAGCAAATGACCTAAATGTGTTTTACTGCAGGTTTGAAAAGAAACTACAGCCACCTATCTCCACAACCCACATCTCAAACACACCAACAACAGCCAAGCACTGGCCCCAATCCATTGGGCTCACAACCTCTGGTGATCACAGAAAAAGAAGTGCAAGATCTATTACACAGACAGAAGCCAGGAAAAGCACCAAAGCCAGACAAGATAACTTCTTGCTTAAAAGTCTGTGCTGACCAATTGGCCCCCATCTTCATCCGAATCTTCAATAGATCACTAGAGATGTGCTATGTTCCTTCCTGCTTCAAACGTTCTACCATCATTCCAGTGTCAAAGAAGCCCTCCATCAAGGAACTGAATGACTACAGACCAGTTGCTCTAACATCTGTAGTTATGAAAATCTTTGAAAGGCTTGTGGTGTCCCACCTGAAAACCATCACGGATCCGCTGTTAGATCCCACGCAGTTTGCATACTGAGCAAATAGATCGACAGATGATGCTGTTAACATGGCTCTGCATTACATCCTACAACACCTTGAATCTCCAAATACCTACGCAAGGGTCCTCTTTGTAGACTTCAGTTCAGCATTCAATACCATCATTCCAGACACTCTTCTAAGTAAATTAAACCAACTAGCAGTACCTGAACACACTTGTAAGTGGGTCATAAGCTTCCTACAGCAGGTGAAGCTAGGCGGAATCAAATCCGATACCTGTACAATCAAGCACAGGGGCCCCCCAAGGCTGTGTGCTATCTCCACTTCTCTTCTCCCTATATACCAATGACTGCACCTCAAACGATCCATCTGTTAAAATACTGAAGTTTGCTGATGACACAACAGTAATTGGTCTCATTCGAGACAACGATGAATCTGCATATAGACAGGTTATATAACTTGCCTCGTGGTATAACCGGAACAATCTGGAACCGAACACACTCAAAACCGTAGGTATGGTGGTAGACTTTAGAAGAAACCCTCCCATACTACCACCTCTTACAATACTAGACAACACAGTATCAATAGTAGAGACCTTCAAATTTCTAAGTTCTACTATATCACATGACCTAAAATGGACACCTAACACCTAACACCTAAAATGGACAAAAACATCATCAAAAAAGCACAACAAAGAATGTTCTTTCTGTGCCAACTCAGAAAGCTCAAACTGCCCAAGGAGCTGCTGATACAGTTCTATAGAGGAATTATTGAGTCTATCATCTGCACCTCTATAACTGTCTGGTTTGGTTCTGCAACCCAACAGGACAGACACAGATTTCAGAGGATAATTAGGACTGCAGAAAAAACAATTACTACCCACCTGCCTTCAGTTGAGGACCTGTATACTGCACGAGTCAAAAAGAGGGCTGTGAAAATATTTACAGACCCCTCACATCCCGAACATAAACTGTTTCAACTCCTTCCCTCAAAACAACACACTGCACACCAGAACAACTAGACACAAGAACAGTTTTTTCCCGAAAGCCATCACTCTGCTAAACAAATAATTCCCTCAACACTGTTCAACTATTTACAAAGTGTACACTATTACTGTTAATCTTCTCACCACTCCTTATCACCCATCCCCCCACTTGTGATTGTAGGACTGTAACTTTGTTGCTTGTATCTGTACGATTTATATTGACTGTTTCCTAGTATGATTTGATTGTTGATTGTACCATTTGACTATCATTAAGTATTGTACGTTATGATTCTTGATTCTTAACAAATGTACCTTTTCTTTATGTATACTGAGAGTATTTACACCAAGACAAATTCCTTGTGTGTCCAATCACACGTGGCCAATAAACTATTCTATTCTATTTATGAGGAATTAATTTAATGAGGAAGTAGCATATTTTTTGAGATGAACCCAACTCACAATATCTCGCAATTTAATTTACTGAATTTAGTAGCAGTTTCTTTGATACGGCTGATTACCTTCCACAGTCATTTTGGCTAGCTCGGGAACTTCAACATAGAAATTTTTCCTGTAAGGCTCATATTCAATCTTTCCATGATCCACTGGTTCCAGCAATTTCCTATGTTTCGTTTGGTAGCCTGTCAGTGCAGTCTGGAGATCAACTTCCTCCTCTTCAGAGGAATACTGGTGGGTTACAAAGCAGGAAAAGTGACCTTTAGGAAGATTCTTTTCTACAAAGCATTTCTATATTTTAAAAAAATATTTGAAACTCTGCAAGGCTACACATCATAAAACCAGATAATAAAAGATAAAACTAACAAGATAACTACAAAAGCATGACAGTACCAATTAACAAAGATTTACTCATTATGAAACTTGTTAGAATGAACCACTTGTTAACTTATATATTTAAAACTTCAGCTGTCACCTTTCCCAATGTACCTTTTACCAAGGTAGGTTGCATGCTCCTTTTCCTCCAAATCTACACATTTACAAACTTTATCCTTCCCTGGTATCTGTACTTTTACTACAAAAGCTACATATCCTACCTATTTGTTTTGCTTTTGCTTATTAACTATTATAACACTAAGTTGAGGTAAGGAGAACCGTCCAAGCAGCTGTGGTGAAAACACTCAACATATGTTCCCCTTTTAAAGAGGAAAATACAAGCTTTTCAATTGCCCTCTCTAAATTTACATTAGCCGAATGGAGGAACATGAATAGCCTATGCTGCAAAATCTCATTTCCCATATTAACAGCATTTCTGATTATGTGAGCAATCTCACTGGATTTCCTTCTGCTCCCTTTCAGGGACACCTCATTTTGAAAAAAAGTTTAAGTCTTAAGCATTCACAATACCGAAGTAATGACAAATGATCTGATTCCAATGCAAATACGTTCATTATTATACAGACTGGGAAACTGCACAAAATAAAATTATCCCCATAACTTAAACTAACTCTTAAAACACATAGTATTTCCTGGAGTTTCACATGAAATAATGCAACACAATTTAATTACCTCCATTGCATCTTGATCATTCACCATGAGTTCTCCTTTCTTCTTTTCAGTCTCTGGAGAAGCTTTCTTGGTTTTCACTACAGTTACTACTTTTGTAACTGTTGGACCCGATTTCTTTAAAATGAAAAGGGAGGAGGGGTATTTTACTGAGTTTGGAAGCACACATAGCAAATCAGAAACATGAATTACTTTAATACTCTAATTTTGAATTTATGTGTCATAATATTCAAAAACTATTTGAAAACCTGAATCAAATCCAATTTACCTTTTCACTTCCAGCTCCACCTTTTACACTTCTCATATTAAATTTCTTGACCTCTTCTTTTACTTCTTCCATGTATGCATCTAGTGGATCTAGCTCTTCATCTTCAATTTCATTACCTTCTTTTTCTCCTTCTGCAGTTTCTTCATCATCATCTAATGTGAAAGATATTTTTAAAACCATACTGGGATACAATCTGTTCCTATATATATAACTCATACTTTCCTAAATATAGGTAAAAAAGAGGATTCTTTTCTGTATAAACAATGACACTGATTTTCTGCACAGTCTAACTTTTTCTGAATGTGGAAGTTGTTTGTTTGTTTCTATCAATAAAACTAAATATTTTTAAAATGAACAGACTCAACCTTCCTCTCTTCATAGATACCCAACCATTCTGTTTATTTCCAGATTATCATTTTTATTTTATATTTTTATGTGCATGCATATATAAAGATATTTTATATTTTTATGTGCATATATAAAGATATTTCTGCTGCATGTTTTTGAATCAAATTCTAGTGCTATTTTCATTTCTGTTTGTGAGCAATAAAATTTTAAATCCAAATGGGGCTTTTGTTTTGCTTTTCCTTTAGGAACTCAAAGTAATGTGAATACATTCCCTCCTCCAACTTTTCCTACATTAACCCTACGAAGTAGATTGGATTTGGAGCAAGTCTCTGGCTTCAAGTCAACCAAGGAATTTTTTGGGACTTGAACTTGAGCCTCTTGTCCCTATCCCAAAAATTTCACAGTAGCTCCTTGTTTAAATCTCTGTCATCCAATAAAACTAAATCAAGAAGGTCTCAACACTGGACCCTCTTTTTCAAATTCTCTACAAAATATAGACTCAGTGCATAAGAAATAAAGTGTAAAAACAACATGCATAAACTGTTCTATGGACAGAACACGTAATTTCAGATGGTTTGAGAACCAAAACTTGCATCTTTGGGATGTTTTCATTTGTGCAGGACTGATTTGCTCTGCACAGTAATAGCAGAGAGAAGCACATAAAAACTCCAAGGTTTCAGCAGCTTCAGGGAGGCATGGAGAGGAAGAGTTGGGAAATTAGAGAGGGATGTATAGGCTGGATTTTATTTCATTCCAAATCCATAAAAACAAAAAAGGATTTTAAATTTCAGTTGTCTAACCAGGGTTGATCCAAAACAATTTGGTATAACCCCTAGAAAGCAAAGGGATTGAAACAAAATATTTTCCCCATCTCATGCACAACCTTAAGAACCACTGTGGCTATTTTCTTCAGTTATGTTCAAAAGAACATAGCTTCTTTCTTCACACATAATTTTAAATAAAGACATTAATACCATCATCATCTTCTAAACTCCATTTCTTCCCCTGCTTCATCTCTTCAATTTCTTTCTTCAGTTCTCCTATATTTTCCATAGCTTTCTTGCGCTGCTCTTCTCTCCATTTTTCTACTCGTTCTTTTCGTTTTCTCATTTCCTCTTCCAATTTATTTTGATCAAAATTCTATTACAGAAAAAAAATCATCCAAAAGGTAGTATCCAATTTCTAACATAGCTTAAAGAAAAATGAAATTGATCTAGATCCTGGAAGCATACAATTAGTGAAAACCTGATTATCAGTTCTATCCAGTACAACAACTTTTTCAGAAAGTAAACTTTCTTTAAAACGAAAATGTGGTAAAACTACATTCTAGACCAGTGGATAACAAACGAAAAGGAAATATGAATATACAACTATTTTGTTAAATGAACTAGTATGGGTAGCAGCATGCTAGAAAAACCTAGATAGAAAAACCTGTCTTTCTAAAAGTCTACATGGTTTTGTAAACAAAAATAAGTAACAAATGCCAGAAAGATCAAATACGTTAAAGAGGTTGTAGTTAATAGCAATAGCACTCACTTATATACCGCTTTATAGTGCTTTATAGTCCTCTCTAAGCAGTTTCCCGAGTCAGCATATTTCCCACAACAATTTGGGTCCTCATTTTACCCACCTTGGTAGGACGGAAGGCTGAGTCAACCTTGAGTCTGGTGAGATTCAATCTGCCAAATTGCAGGCAGCTGGCTGCACCAGCAGTAGTTTGCAGTACTGCACTCTAACCACTGCACCACTGAGGAACTTATAATGCAAATTATTCAGATTTTAAAATATATAATCATTATTATATCAGCTACTGTCTGGCTACATCAAATAGGAACAACCTTTAAAATAGATGCACATATTATCATTACTTAAATGTTTTTGTGCTATTTATCATTAAAACTTAAGAAATTCTGCAGAACCTTCAAATTATGGTTTTAAAAATGGCTTGTTACTCTTTATAGACAGAGAATTCTTTCTGTACTTACATTTACATCTTTATCCTTTTCTTCTTCCTTGTCCTCTTTCTCTTTTTTCTTGTCTTTGTTAACTTCCACACCTTCTATCTTTTCTGTAGAGCGTGATCTGAAACACATAGAAAGCATTGTGTATTGCAGAACGCTTTCTGATCTCTTGACAGACAATATAATGAATACAAAAAATCATTTTTATTATACATTGCTTCATTGAATGAAATTAAATTATAATAAACAAGTCTTAAGTTTCTGAATTCCTTTTTCTGCCCTTCTGGCACATGCAGGCAAGATACTTTTAAGGTTTTAATTGAGATTTAGTATTATGTCCATACCTAGACAAACTCATTTATTATAAACCAGGTTAGGGAAATAAGCCAATTTTAAATTGTGCTTTCCTAAAGTTAGAACAAATTAGTTTCCCTTTGTCAGTGTTTAGACAGCATATTCATGGCCCAAATATTTCATAGTTCTTTATGTATAGCACAATCTTTACAACCATTGGACAATTTCATACTCATGCTTAAAAAATTGCAGACATTGAATCTGTAGGCACTGGAAAATACAGTCTTCAATTTATGACCAGTTGCTTAATGGTGATTCAAAGTTACAACAGATCTCCCCAGAGCTAGTTATGACCCAGTTTTGGTGTTACCTCAGCCAACTGCACATTTCTGTAATGTGATGGCATTTTGACCACTTGGCAACCAGATCACCTTTATGGTTATTTGCAGCACTAAGACCACATGGCTGCAATTTGTGGATTTTGTTTTGCTAGTTTCTGGCATTTACTTTTGGTTCCTGGCAAAAAACGTCCATTGCTGAAAATGGATTTGCTTTATGATCACTATGTTTGCTTAACAACCCTATAACTTTCAATTCAGTCACGTGATTCCTGTATTCCATACATACAGTTCCCTTCAACCATTTTGTGAAACGGGTTCCTAAAGTTTGGGTGCAATCTTAAATTGCAATTAATCAAAAACTGAAAATGAAGGGAAATTTCTATCTCTCTCTTTTGAGTAGATAAAAAAAAATTCCTGAAGGGAAAATTTAGCTCTTAGGAACCAAAAAGGTGACCATTCTATCCAATGCAGAGTTAGCCACACGTGGGTCCACTAATTTTAAAGAATTAAAATGTATCAAAATCTGCATAGAAACAGCTTTATGTATACTTATAGTCCCACCCAAGTTTACTGAGTTCAATGAGAGTTACTATCAAATATGTGATTAGTGTAAGCAAGAAGTCTAACAATACACAGATTAGTTTGTTAAGTTCCTTTTCATAAACAGTTATTCCAAAGATCAAAAGAATATTGCAGAGCAATGCTCCAAACTGCAGTACATGAGTAAGATCATGGCCTTTTTCTAGTCTATTCAATTATACCAGTGGTTTTCACCAGGTAATCCCTGGAGGCAGCAGGATATTTCAAGGAAACCTCAGGGGAAAAATATGTAAGGGAAGGCATGGCATGGGCCACAATAAAGCAAAGTAAATACTGTCTTTTTGACAGTGAAAACACACCAGTTACTGTCCTGTGTCTACATCTGAGACATGGAATTGTGCATTATTGTCAGTCTATTTATGTGGCAGTTAGTGGAAGCCCACAGTAAGCAACTGACAAGGGAGCGTGTTGCAGTACTAAACTTATTATAAATAAAAACATATATTCTATTTACAAACCAAGTGTGCAAGTGAGGAAACTTCTTCATTGGCAATGGGACCTGGACAGAGGATTCACAGGAGAAAATCAAGGTTGGAACGGGCCACAGGCAAAAAAGGTTGACAAACACTGTATTACTGTACTCACAATAAGCATAAAACTAGGTTGACAAACACTGTATTACTGTACTCACAATAAGCATAAAACTAGGTGTACTAAAAGGATATTCTCATGTAGTGAACCAGGTGTAGCAAAAAGACATTTTTGGCATATGAAAATACGATATACAAACAGCATTCCACAATAAAAGACATAGCTACATAGATTGAATATGATAACACCTATATTATCAAACTTTTTTAAAATGCATACACTCAATTACCTGTTTTCTACTTTCTTGCTCTTGCCAGGGCTGGAAGATCGAGACCGTCTGCCTCTGCTCCGGCTTCCAGATCGTCTTCTCTCCCGGCTGCGTGATCGTCTTCTCTCTCTACTCCTTTCCCTCTCTCTACTTCTTGAGCGCCTTTACAAAGCAGATTTGAAATACAATCTTAAGTAAAACATTTTTTCTAGTTCATAAGATATCACTCCCCAAGAGGAAGTAGAAAATATTCATTTCGAAAACAAAAGAACACCAAGTTACAATACAGGAATAATGAATTCTAATGAATTAAGAACCAAAGCCAATTTTTACAGTGGCAAATTGTAAAAGCATGAAGAATATTCCTTCTCCATATCATCAACCTTTTTAGAAAAATGTTCAGCATTTACTGGGATTTTTTTTTCTTGCAGAAGTCTATTAAAGACTGCGACTTACCTCACCCGTTTTCTGTCACGCGATCGAGACCTCCTCTTGTCCCTGCTCCGCGATCTTTCACGCCTGCGGTCTCTTTCTCTACTCCTAGAACGTCTGTCATCTCCACGTTTTGCTCTTTTGTCAGATGGAGAACGACTGCGGGAACGGCTACCAGAGCGCCCACGTGATGAGGAGCGTTTCCGATAATGTCTACAGTCGTATAATAACAGAAGGGTGAAGACAAGGAATACAGAAATTCAAGTATAAAGGATGTGATAAACAAATACCCAAGACTATGATTAAAATTATTCAAAATGCTTCCAAACTAGACTGTGAAAATAAGTCATTCATTTTCAGTATTTTCACTACTGAATTGATGTGGTGGTCTTAAAAGATTAGTCTGAGTCCAAGATTGAAATCTTTACAAACTTCTGAGATTCTCTGGGATAGCTGTTTTCTGGGAATCCACTTGATTGTAACTGTTAAAATACTAAATGGGAAATACTAGCTAGGAAGTCCTAAATTCTTCTAGAAGGGGTAAATAAAATGAAATAAAATTTGTTAATCAGAGGATAATATTACATACATTCTACTCTATTAATCTTTGGACTCAAAATAATAAGTGGAAGAGATAAAAAGGCCCAACAGTAGTAGAAAGGAAGTAGCTTATGAATTTTTCACAAAGAAAAGACAAACCAAAACAAACAAATATATCTCCTGTCAGTTAATAAGTATATACTCCCCCACTCTTTTCTCTTTGTATAAATACTGTTAATTTCTGGGGAAGGATACAATATGCTCTTGGTTACCGATAGAAGTATAGAAAATACAATTCTATAGTTAGCAATTTCCTCAATACAACCTCCAATAAATGTTGCTCACCACTCAAGTGACAAGTGATGTGCTCCAAAATGAAAAATATATTTTCAGCCATTAGTGATTGAGGTGTTGGTCAAGCATGTATTTTACCTCTAGCATATTTGAATACATAAGATAACAATGTTCAAATAAAGTACAGTCAGATTCTAAAGTACAACCAAGTTTGTTAAGCACAATGCACCCAAATTATAAATATAGGATTACACAAGTAAAAATAAATAAAAACCACCCTCTTTCCTATTTAACTATCCTCTTAAAGCCTTTTGCAAAGCACAGAGTGCTTAGAAATTAAAGACAGTTACTTGCTACTGCCATAGAAAAGAGAACAATGTTGGAACATCTTATGCTATAGTCGCACTTCATATAAAATGGGAAACCATCATACACTGAAGGAAAAACAGCATCATGAAATCCCAATGAACATCTGAATTGAATATCACACATATATACTGAAAAAGGTGGCAACTATTTGATTAATGCAATCATTAATCATTTACATAGTACATTTGTGCTTAAAAATTGTGAGATGAAAAACTATTAAGTAGATTAACTCACTGTTTTTGTTTGGACAACTGTTGCTTTGTTGATCTAAGGAAATGAGAGAGATTAGGTAAGCAAGGTGGTATCTTTTGGATGATTTCAGCATGAAACCTTTCAAAACCTGCCAGCCACAGCTGGGCTCTGCTTATTTTGTATAATACTGAGCTTCCCCTGTGAAATTTTCTGTGCAAGCTACTGCAAGACCAAATCTAATATCGTGAAAATCATGGATATTTTTCAAGATTGTGCTATGCAACTGACTTTTCACTAATGGCCATTTCCCATTTGGACAAGCTCCAACATTTGCAAAACAACCCTCATTGTAATAACTGTTCAAGAAGGATCTCACTATTAGAAGGACAACATAAATGGTGGAGAGGACAGTTGTATTCTCAGATATTTGATCCAATTGTTTTGAAATTTATTTATGCAATTATTCTGGCAAGCAGTTATGAATGACCCCCCCCCCATATTCAAATGTACATAAAGTGCATTGCAATAATGTCAGAATAATGTTAGCACAAGGGCTTGAGGAGTCTTGGTGAATCAAGATGTTGCAATAATGGATATTTTTTTTATAATAATGCATCTTTACATCTTTCACCAGGAACAATCTGACAATATTTTCCTCAACTTGGCTCTTATGTGTTGTTCTCTTAATACTGTCACCCATAAATCCGTCTACATGCCATCCTAACTCGCCTATCCTATATAGTCAAACGAATACATTGATAAACCAAATGAAAGAAAATCTGAGATAGAGAATATTTTGAAGCCCAAATCACAACTGTACACAACTCGTAGCCTTTTAAGGATCAGTACGAGGCACGCCGGGGGAAACGTGACCAGAGACTCGTCCGAATAAAAGTCGCATTTAGACCGATGACCTAATTGGACTTTAACGTCGAGAAAGAAAGAAAGAAAGAAAGAAAGACGAAAGAAGCCAGAGGCCTAAATCTAAAGGCAACACGGACCGCCCTTATCCTCCATGTTGCAAATCGCCTCGTGAAGGCTTATTCCTATTTTGAAGCTCCAGAGTTTAAACTGGCGGTGTTATATAAATGTTATATAAATAGCCCACTCTTCAATCCGGCGGCCACCCCAACGTCGAGGTTTCGCGGCCTCCTTCCTACGCGCCCCGCGATCCCCTCCTTCGGCCCCAGGTGCGGCGGAAAGACCAAGCCCAGTAACGCGACAGCCAAGTCGGCTCCTGAAGTCCGCCGCCCCTTCGCGCCCTTTACCTCGATTCCCGGCCCATGGCAGCGACCCTCGAAGCAGCGAAGAGGGACGGCTTTCTCTTCCGCCTCGGCTCCTCAAAGCCAAGCTGCGCCTGCAACCACTTTCCGAGAAGCAAACAAAGCGGAAATGCATCACCGACGCCGAAAGGGGAAGAAGAAGAAGAAGAAGAAGGCCCGGATCGTGTCCTACAACCGCCCCACAGCAGCCTCTTCTGCCCGGAGGAGCGACCAGCAGGCGCTCTCCGCTGCAGGTGCGTATACCGCCGGAATTTTAAGCGGATGGTAATTTTGTCCTAAGAGTGCTTGGTGTACAGTGACTAACTCGCAGACAAACGACGGTAGCCCGTGGTGTTTTTCAGAAGAAAACTGAGCATATCTGTGCTTTAATATTTATTCGCAGTCTGCTGCCACCTGGTCACATCCCAAAGGTGCTTTTTTCAAGAGGCAACTGGACTTTCTGGTTTTTCATTGAGGAAAAAGGAAAGAAAAATACTTTCCTTTTTCCTCATACTTTACATAAATAACCTTTGTGATCATATTAAAAGCAACTGCGTTCTTTTCGCGGATGATGTAAAAACTATTCAACACCACCGACAACGGTGCTACACTTCAAAAAGACCTTGACTATGTCAGAATGGTCAAACAAGTGGCAACTTCAAATCTCAACAAACAAATGCTCTGTCTTACATATTGGCAAGAAAAATCAGAAAATAAAATACAAGTTGGACGCACAAGACCTTGTAGATGACTCTCATTCTGTCAAGGACCTTGGAGTTCTCATCTCTGATGATCTAAGTGCTGAAGCCCACAACATTGCCAAAAAAACATTAAGAGTTGTTAACCTAATCATATGAAGCTTTTTCTCCGGTAATATTGTACTACTAACTGGAGCATACAAAACATTTGCTAGACCAATTCTTGAATACAGCTCATCTGTCTGGAATCGGCACTGCATATTGGACATTAATACAATTGAGAGTCCAGAAATATTTCACAAAAAGAGTTTTCCACTCCTCTACTCACAACAGAATACCCTATGCCTCCAGACTTGAAATTTTAGGCTTAGATAGAACATAGAACTATGTCACCTTCGGTCTAACCTAAGTGTAGTACATAAAATTATCCATTACAATGTCCTACCTATCAATGACTACTTCAGCTTCAACCTCAACAACACATGAGCATACAATAGATACAAACTCAGGGTAAACCGCATAAAACTCAATTGCAGGAAAAACGTCTTCAGCAACAGAGTGGTCAATGCCTGGAATACTCTACCTGATTCTGTGGTTTCTTCCACTAACCCCAAACACTTTAACCTCAGACTGTCTGCTGTTGACCTCACCCCATTCCTAAGAGGTCTGTAACGGGCGTGCATAAGCGCACCAACATGCCTACCGTCCCTGTCTTAATGTTCCCTTTTATTTGTATCTATTTCATGTATTAATAATCATGTTTATACTTATATATACATGATCAAATATACGCTTAAATAAAAAATTAAAAAATATAATAAAAAAATAAAAACCCAGAAAGTCCAGTAGCCTCTTGAAAAAGCACCTTTGGCACAACCATGACCTGGATGACTGAGAATCTCCATAGACAACTGGTCACATTTGTTGTACAATGGAAACGCATGGACATTTGATCATCGGCATGAAACATGAATCCTCTCAATTTCATATTTTTGAGAGATTTGCCTGGAATCACCATCTCTCATGACAACTCTTGGCGTGGCATATATCCCAATATTTCTTCTCTGTCCAGTTTTGATTCCATTGTGGCTTAAACAATGTGGATCAGGAACAACTTTTCTTAGTCCCATAAAAAATATATCAGGGTTGTACAAAATTTCAGTCAAATCACGAACCATGTGTTCGAGCATAAAGAATTACCAAATTACTTTTGGGCAACTTGGGGCCCTGCAACAATGCAAAAGAAATGTCTTAATTTTTGATGGGATCCTAATCTGGACCAATTCACAGAACACATTTGTTTGAACCCGGTGAACCACTGCAAACACAGTTTAGGTTCATATGTGATGGATTTGAGATCAGGTTGCCTTCAGTTGTTACTATGGATGTATCCGCATGAAACACAAATCATAGTTCTTTTACTTGCAATGAAGTTTTGTAATTAGATTCAGTTTTTGGCCCCACAGTGGTGCTAAAATATGGACCTGATGCATGGCTTCATATGATTTTACATCTAACGTAGCTGAAATCAACATTGATAGACAAATCAGAACTTTTTGCACAAAACCAAATCATAAGATCTAAGGATTTTTACCAATATAATCCAAAAAACTTGAACTCAGCACAAAAATCCTACTGGACATTATTGTGTGCAACTCTCCAGACAGACCAAGCCATGTTACCATTTTTCTCAATAGGTAGACAGGAAAAATCAGTTGGTAAAGTTTGGTATTAAAGTGGCACAAAATCAAAGGAACTAGTTTTCTAAAAAAACTAATTGCATCTGTTTTACCTGAAATCATAAGGCTATCTTTATGAATGCACTCTTCCATTATAGTCAGTTCTGGAAATTTCTGGCATTCTCATGACACAAGATAATATCTGTGTCATATTCTCAAGAATCTTCACGGTATTCACATTAAGAGATCACCAAGTCAAAGTAGATAGCGGATTTGAGGAATGAATTCTTATGGATCATATGGAGGATAAAGGATAAAGCTGTTCTTATATAACAAGTTTATTACCAAACTTGATTGCAGGAAATACGACTTCAGCAACAGAGTGGTCAATGTCTGGAATACTCTACCTGACTCTGTAGTTTCTTCCCCAAACCCCAAAAACTTTAACCTTAGACTGTCTACTATTGACCTCACCCCTTTCCTAAGAGGTCTGTAGGGGGCGTGCATAAGCGCACCAACGTGCATACCGTCCCTGTCCAGACTTTCCAAACATTTTGTTTTATAGATCCAGGAAGTGTTCTATCCAGAAGATAGTAGGCAGGGCACTGTTAAATTCAGCTACAAAGGTCTGATTTATTTTCTTAATCCTCTTGGAACCAGAACGTTCTGTACTAAATTACTAATTCAGAAATAAGGAAAGTTAACAAAATCTGACCTTTGCAGACATTTTAATGTATATTCAAGTAATGCCAAAACATAAATAATTGCAACATATATAGCTTCAATGCATTTAACAGAATCAATGCAACTATTACAACAATGTAAGATTTTTACAGAGAAAGTCCAAATTATGGGAAACGAAACACACAAAGCAGTTTATTTCATCATATACATACTTTTAGACAGCACAGGAGAGCTGCTCCTTCTTTGTGCTTGGAGAAACTTTTAAACCACCAGGCTTTCTGCCCAATTATTTTCTATTTGCATTTAAATATGTAAAAAATATTAAACATAAGGATGCCAAAAAAACCTGCATAGTGATATTAGCAATTTCCTTGGAAAGGCCCCATACTTAAAGAGGATATTTTGCACATTTTTCAATGCAGGACCAATAATTTTTTTAAAACTTGAATCTTGTTTATGATGTTTTCTACCCCCCCCCCTTTTTTTTTTAAAGTATAGATGGATGAATATCTAAGTGTTGTGGTGGGGTTTAAAACATCAAATATTTGTTTTTGTGGAGCAAACTTTTGTGGAAAATATGCAGATGTCCATCTTAACGTGTTGGTCATTAATTTTCCTACTTTTATCTGTTTTATCTTCTGTGGAATGAGTGGGGTTTTTGTTTTGTTTTTGCATTTTCTAGAATCACTATCTAAAAACAGTCTATCCTGTATGGGTCTTAGATAAGATTTCACTGTCAGAAATGAGTTTTTGTAATTGACTATATTTACCATCGCAGTCATTGGGCAAAAATGGCTAAGATACTATCAAAATATCAAGAGTTGGGATTGATAATTCTATACCTTACATTTGCTTTTTGAAGTAAAAATATATCAAAAAAGATCTTAGATTTATGCTATTTTATCAATATTTGAAGTCCATCATCAAAAATATGAATTATAGGAATTTAGAAAAATTAAATATGCAGAGTAAAAACTTAAAATAGACTTTTCTCAAGGTAGTATTATAGTTCATGTTGTAAAGAGACAAATTTGTTTTTTAAACCAAATTAAACTGCATTGCCAAAATATGCACATTTCTTTGTGTATTTCAGCCATGACTTACTTTTCAAAACACTTTTTCCAGGGAGCAGTGGTAAAATTTGGTTCAGTAAATGCAATTACTGAAATTACAATGTAAGGAAACTTATGAGTCTATTATAAAGGAAGAACCAATTTAACTTTCTATCAAGTATTTAAAAACCTGTGTTTTAATTTAGTCTGTTAAATTATCTGTAATAACTGTAGGCAAAGTAAAACACATTTCCAGTTAAGTCAAGCTACTTGACAGCAGACACTTCAAAAATTAAAATCCAAGAAAAAAATCATCTTGTTTATCAGAATAATGAAAATATTCCACTGTATAATTTGTATCTTTGATTAATTTCCAAATCTTTGCAAGATAGAACCACTTACAGATACTGAGAATGGGCTAAATATACATAACAGTGACAAGATGAAGATAGGGAAGAACTGTAACATAAGAAAGGATTGCAAATACATGGCACATCTCCTTCAGCCCGTAATGGTCATAAAATCTAATGCAAATTAAGATCAACAAATAAAATCTGCCATATTTTATTATTTAAAGTCATTGTGATTGGCTAGATAAATGTGAAAACGTGGGAAATTGCTTGTATTTAACGAAACTATAAAAGGGTACCAATTTTAAAACTAAGTTAAGGCTTGACTGTAGAGAAGGTCAAAAAGGAACATCAGGATTTGCTAAGTTTAGTGGAAGATGCTTCAAGTAATTGTTTTCAGATGAGTTTATAAGAACCAATTTATATATTTTAAAATTAGCATTCTACTATAAACAGACCATATTCTCTGATACCTGTTTTCTAAAATATTATGCATATTAAACACTTGACTAACACTGGGGTAAAATACTAATTTGCACCTTCTTGCGCTGCAGTGTACCTTGGTATTTAGGTAGAGATACTAAAAATCCCATGCACATATTCTTGAAAAGAAAATATATGGAAGATACTGAGGCTTGGCCTAACTTGTAGTACAAAGAAAAAAAATCTAAGATTAACTGAAATGTC